TGTGCGTGCGTGCCACAATGCCTGCCTGGTGCCCATAGATCAAGGTCAGAAGAGGCCATCTGATCCCTTAGAATTGGGCTTATGGATGGTTGAGGGCTACCAAACCCAGATCTCCTGGATGAGCAACAAGTACTCTGAACCACTGAGCCATCTCTCCAGGCCCAAGAATAAACTCCCCCCCCCCCCCACCCGTACTTCAACTCCCTGTTCTTAAAAGTAAAAGAGCCGGAGAGATGGGAGGAGAGGGGGGCATGCAGCATGTTTGAGATTATGGCAAGGTTCCAGAAATGAAGGGCGGTGATGACTGTGAGCTGGGAAGGTATTTCCTGTCACTGAACTCCTCTCTTCCAGTAGCGAGGAGGCTTAGTTATGTTCTGTGCCTTGTAGTGGTAAAAGCAGCAAACAAAAGCACAGGCTCCCAAGGCTCTGCTGAAAATGGTATTTCCACCCTGATTAGAAATATTCTCCCCAGCTAGCCTCCTTTTTTCATGCGTCTTGCCCTGGTGCCTCCGGAGCCCTTCTCTAGGACGCTGTCCCCAAGCTGTGTAGCTGGGTGCTGGCAGCTGAAGGAGGGCAAAGTACGCAGGGGTAGGGGAGACTTTCTCGATGACGGCTTGACCTCAGCTAAGAGGGCAATGGAGCTTTATTAGGGAAGTTAAAATGCTCGAAATTAATTTGGTTTGAGGTAAGTGCCGGGCTGAGAATTCTGATCTTTGGAGATAGAGATCCAAGTCTGGAAACTGGTTCAGACTTTTCAGCCTCATTGAGTGATCTGGGCAGGTGGTGATGCGGGGTTGAAGAGCTGTGAAAACCCAAGAATGATCCCACCCCCCAATCCCAGCTTTTTAGAGGTGGCATGGTTGTAAGAGCCTCCTAGCAGCAGCCTGAGTCCTACGGGAAAGCTAGCCCAGGCCAGAAAAAGAGGCACATTTCTTAGAGACAGGCCACAGCTACTGGGCCTGCGCGCTCAAGCCCCAGCTCTAGCCTGGAGTGTCACTTGTAGTCATGGGGGCTGTCATGTGACTGAATATTCTGGCAGGCAGCCATGTGGCTCTAAAGCCTAGAAGAGCTGTTCCCAGCTGATCCTAGTGTTTCATTTTTATCCCCATTTGGATTTTTTTTTTTTTACATGTAAATTTCTTTCACACACAATGTCCCCATTTAGTCCCTCCCTCCAAGAGTGCAAGGAAAAGCTGAACTGCAGGCATTCACTTTTAAAACAGCCCCGCATGTGGTGAGATGGCCAGGCTGAGACGGGATGCAGGGACCTTGTGCCAGTCTTGCTCTGGCTGGTGGTACAGCCTGCAGACCCGGGAGTATGGGTGAGAATATCCACAAGCATTGGTTGACAGTGGGGGGAAAGGCTGTGAGTAGCAGTGCCAACAGCCTCCCTTAACGTCATTGGCTGTTTAATATGAGGAACCAGTGTGCTTTCCTCTCCTCTTAAACTGCTTTCAAGGACAACCTATGTCTTCTTAAAGGACTGTGGCAAGACAAAGGTATGCCCGGATAGGACACATCTGGGGTAGAGACCCCAGGAAACTGTCCCTTAAAGGAACACAGTCCCCAGTCGACAGAAGGTAGAGGATGTGGTGGTGACATCATTCTCATGGAGGCGGATGAATCTGTTTACAATGTGCCCGGGATGAACATGCTGCCGTCAGGTCAAGGGTGGCTGGTCAGCCGGGCAGGGCTTTCCCATTTGGAGTCCAGGAATGAAGCAAGCACCTGGGTATACAGTGCCAGGTTTTGGGGTCCCAGAACAGAGGCTGAGTATAGGACTAGAGGGGGCTGCTGTTCTGCTCACCATGAGCACAGAAGACTCTTCCAGAAGACAGGGGTGAGGCTGGACCTGGGCAGCTTTGGGAATAGTCTCCAAACTACCACCTTAGCAGCGAAAGGCCTTTCAGAGGAGGCGCAGCCATCTGGATTTTGACTGGTCTTCAGAACGCACTACCAGCCATTTTCTTCTACCATTTAATGCAATTTCCTGCATTAAAGTTCTCTTTTCATATCCCCCACGTTTAGCAGCTTGAGGTTCAAAGATCCTGTTTGCTCTTGGTATTTGAAGTTACTAAGCCAGCATCACAGATGACAGCTACCACCAGGATGAGGGCACATCCGGAAGAGCTCCTGGACACTTGGGAGGGCCAGAGTGGAATGGCAGCGGCTGTGGGGGCAGCTACCCTGGGGTACCCTGGGGTAGCCGGCACAGTCACAGCTTCCAACCTCATCCCCTCCTCGAGGGCTTGGGTTAACTAAACTTTCCACCTACAGGAAGCTTTGAGCCACAATCACTGCACTTTCTGTGCATGTAGCAGCACACTTTGGGGCTTTCTTCTGTCATGGAGGACACCCTGATGTCTTTGCTTGGCTAGCCAGTAGCACCTCTCAGGGGCCTTTCATCCAGTTCACAAAAAGGCTCCTCAGCTTTGACCCTCAAGAACCTTAAAAATGGGTTTACTGGAAAGCAGAGCTAAGGTGTGTATGTGTGTGTGTTATTCTTGAATGAGCAAATGCATGTACTTAGGATGTAGCAACTGACCACTTAACATTCTCAGTGGATGACAATTTGCACATCCCTCTATTCCTCTCTTCTTTCACAGCTCGGGAATGTCACTCTTCTCTCCCTACCCTGCCTCCGAACACAGATACCTGGCCCCTCCCCTCAGTCTGGCCTTCCACTTGCAGCCGACTCCTTCAGCACATGCCGGCAACATCTAGGCACGGTGATAACGTGCCACCGGTCTCTATACATGGATACGTGTGGGACCCGAGCACGCAGGTGCCTGTCCTATGAGATGCAATGAAAGCAGAGTCAGGATGCTCCTGCCATCACCACTTCCTGCTGCAGCAGAACGCTCTCCTGACCCACACCTGCCAGACTCGGCTCTGCAGCAGAACCCACACCCACAGGGGACTGTTATTCTGGCAGAGCTCCCATTTTCAACCACTAGCCTCCTGGCTCAGTTCAGTTCAGCTGGCTTCTTCCACAGCTGACTTACCTACCTCCTCCTAGGCCACGTGGCCGCTCGTGAGGTCTTGGTGGTGGACTTCTTAGAGATTATGCCAAATAATAATAACAATAACATTAAAAAGCTTCCTAGCTTAAGGATACACATAGGGAAGGGCTTAAGGGGAACCTACTCCTGTTATGCTAAATGGACATGTTGTCAGATTGTCTTCTAAATATTTGTGTTTGCAGCCATAGATCAGCACTACTCTCAGTCTTGGTCAGGGACGCTGCTTCTTCTCGCTGTTCTTGTTCTTTTTTGTCTTCCTCCTCCTTTTTCTTTTTCAGACGTGTGTGTGTGTGTGTGTGTGTGTGTGTGTGTGTGTGTGTGTGCACATGCGTGTGTAATAGCCCTGGCTATCCTGGAACTGGCTCTGTAGACCAGGCTGGCTTCACACTCACAGAGATCCACCTGCCTGGGATTAAAGGCATGTGCCACCAACACCCGACAGAGAAGCTTCTTTTTTGCAGTAGGTAGTGGCTGGTGCCTAGATTCACAAATGATGGAAGTGCCGAGAACAAGTGGCTACCTGAGCGCTCAGCCCTAAATGAGACTCGTTCATCACACTATCATCCCCACCCAAAGGCCCTGGGGACATCTCAGAATAGGGGACAGGGAGAATGTAAGATCTGGAGGACTCCGATGGAGGAGGACTCTGGTGGATGCAGGGGACTCGATATGACTGTTGTATCCATGAACTCACAGATGTTATCTGCACAAGACTGGGCCTGACAAGACTACATCAGGAAGAGAGGAGGGACATATGGGGCCCCACCCCTAGCTGAGAAGCTGTTGCCGTTGCTGGGGTGGGGGTGGGGGCTGTCCTTTTTTCTTCAGTCACTGATAAGTTGCCTGTGCTCATGTGAGGAACCTAACTAAACTCTGTGGGTATTTAAGAATAAAACAAAACCTGTGAAAGGGGGAAGGCAAATTGTTGGGAAGAAAGGGATTTGGAGGGAGTGGGGAGGGAGGGGCTAAGAATAATGGGGGGGGAATAGATGTGATAAAAAGTACATTCCATACATGTATAAAATAGCCAAAAATACATTTAAAAATTAAAGAAATTATTTTGCATTAGAGGAAATCTGCATTTTTTTTAAAATCTATTGCTAGGGATGGGACGCAGATTTGGAAAAAGACATTTCCATCTGCTCTGAAAGTCTAAAATTCAAGGCAAGCTAGCTCATGCTTACTGACACTCCCCTACATGGAAACCATGTAGGGGCCATGTTTCTCTAGTTACAGACTTGACAACGGATGGTCAAGATGGCAGGGTTCTAGTCCAACTCCCACACTCATGCAAACCCTGGGGGGGGGGGGGGAAGGTCCGCCATAGTTCTGGGAGAGAGGCTGTCAGGCTGGCATACAGTACCCAGAGCCACTGGCTCTGGGAGTGGGCGAAGGAAGGCCTGAGCTAATCCTCTCTTAACTTTGCTCTTAACCAGCCACCTAGAGTAACTAGGAGCCAGGTCATCCAGAAAAACCATTGAGCACTGAAGAACCAGAGCCCAGAAGAGCAAGATGAAGTGAAAGGGGCAGAGGGGGAAAGGGGAGAGAGCAGAGAAAACTATAAGGTGAAACAAAACAAAACAAAAGTAAACCAAACAAAACCACGGGGTGGCTCTTCTCCTTCAGCTGTGAACCAACTACTGATTACAGCTGTTTTCTATGACAAGAGTATTCTGCCTTTCGAATAATAAAGTTGACGATTCTTGACATAAAGCCAAACCTTCCAAGGAAGGAAATATTAAGCAAGCATTCAAGAGAAAAAGCACAAGTTTTGTTTTGTTTTTTAAAGATACCAAAGTAGAGTTCCCTACCCAGATAAAGGTGACTTTAGCTTTTGTTTTGTTTTGCTTTAGTTAGGATGGGACACCCTGATGCTAGAGAAGCATGATCCACCCTGGACTCTAGCAAGGTCACGGTCACCGAGCCCACTAGAAAAGACAATCATTGTAGGAAATAGGACAACAGAGCTGCTTCTACCTCCATACTAGTATTAGGGTCAAGATCATCACACTCTGACTCCTCGGAACTGTTGGTCTCCTTGGTTGGCAGCATGAAGAAGGGGGAAGAAAGAGAACACAGTTAGAACACGGCAGTCTGGCTAGAGGGAGGAGAATATCAGAGAAGCATGGGCATGGGCAGAGAAACTTCAGGTGGGGCGCGGGTTGTCATGGCAGCAGCATGCTTCGCAGGGACCGTGGACGCCTGCTTCTCACACCAGGAAGAGCAATGGAAGCTGACCGGATGAGGCATGAGTGCTGGCATTAAACTGTCCACTTTGGCGAGGCTGAGCTTCCCAATTTCTTTTCCCCAAAAGGATCTTGAGGAGTTTTTTGGTTGGTCTTTGCTTGGGAAGGCAAGGCTCCCAAGAGAACATCAACGTGTAATTTTTTTTTTTCACTGTGCCAAGGCAAAGCATTTCAGAAGGGGTCACCTAGCAAGGCAGATCCCAGGCACATTGTTTCTAGATGGAAGAAACGAAGGAAGGCTCCGCCAAGCTCATGGTTAGTGAGGTAACAGGTAATTTAGAAGCCAACCAAGGCCTCACTGACGTGCCTCCCTAGTCTTCTCGTGCACAGCGGGAACGTAAAGGGATTGCTTAAATGGTGATGTGTGAACTCTGGGGAAAAGAAATGAAACTTTACTATGGACACAATGGACCTTACGTGCCAAACCTCTGCTTTCACGAGACCAGGGGTTTGGAGGGTAATCCCTTTGACCTGACTGTGTTCCCAAACCTAGGCTACTGAGTGGGTACCTTTGAGGAGTTTACTATGAACCAAGCGCCTTGCATTTCTAAGGAAAGAATGCTGCAGATCATTTTGCTGTAAAACATCTGCTTAACCCATAAAAGAAAAAAGAGAGGTACTTACTTAAATTGAAGGTGCCAGGAGAAATAAAAAATAAAAAACAAATTGACCTTGCATGCAAAAAAAATCCTGCTAAACTACCCCCCCCTTTGGTCCCCACACTGGACGGTCCATTAATAAGTAGTCAGTCCCCACCCACCCAAACTGCCTGTCAGGATGCTTCAGGGAGGGACAGATGAGGGACCCAGTTCCGGAACACCTTACTCACTTTAACAGAGACTTTGTTGCCCAGAATATCCTTGGGTTTACGAGGCCCTGTGGCTTCATTTTTACCCGTGTTCTCCACTTCTGCCCGCTTTCTCATGCGTAGAGTATGCCATGAGCATGACTTCCTGTTATACCAAAAAATGCACCAATCAAAATGGCAGGATGGGGCAGAGTGAGGTGGCGAGTGGGGCTCACCACTACTGTATACTAGATGAGATACTCCGGTGAGGGCCACAGCTTTAGCGTCCCAAACCTGTGTGCAGGCTCCTGCGGTGGCTGGGGCTGACCTCACGTCCACCTGGAAGTAAGGATGACCTCTGACCCTTTCTGAAAAGTATACCAGGAAAAGTGCAGCATTTGAAAAAAAAAAAAAAAAAGATGGGGACCAGGTCACTAAACCTGGGGAGAGTTCTTTGATCATCTGGTGAAGCCTTCTGGGATTGAGGTGGTGTTTTGACAAAGGCATGGTGGATGGGGAAGGATGGGATGGGCATAGAATGGAGAGATAAAGAAAATATATTTTATTCTGTACAAACAAGCCACAGGCACCTTCCACAATACCTCATATGTAAATAAGACCCAACAGAGTGATTCTGAGGCTCCCGTCTTGTTATTTGGGGCATGGCACACTCTCAAGCCCTGGGGAACTAAGTTTTTGAGGAAAGTGGAGGCATTCCCCTCACAATTCTGGAAACTTCGGGGCAGGGTTTCAGCCTTTGACCTCCCCATGGCTCAGTGTTGGTGACTATAGGGCTCTTTTGGTCACTAAAGGGTGCCAGTTTCCCTGGTGGAATAAGGCCCCGTTGTGTGTGTCCAGAGAGGCGACAGTGGCAATGGTCTCTCACACCATCTTGACTCCTGTCCCACTTGGGGCCTGGGCTCCGTTCACAGCTACGGAAGACAGGCTTGGGGCAGAGCATTTGAGTGCCACATCTGTCAGGGTCAAGGATAGCAAAAGGCCAAGACCCAAGCAGCATTAGGGACCTGAGCTGCAGCCATACTTCAGCTGTGCCAGGGTTTGCATGAAGTTAAGTTTTGTCGGGAGTGAGGCCTGTATTCCCTCCTGTTTCCTGGTTAAATATAAAATATGGAGGCTCTGTAGGCAGGGCTTCATGAAAGAGAACCTTCATGAAGGGAAAGGCAAGCGAGATTTAGGAGGAAAATACCTCAAATGCCTCTCTTCCACAGCATTCCAGAGCCACCAGGAGTCTAAGGAATCCAATGGAGATGTTCTAGAAACAGTTGTCACCTAACATACGGCCTCAACAATTAACCTGAAGGGGGAAATGTCGTCACAATTGAGTTCTGGGAAGTGGGAGCCTTCCAGAGGCCAGAGCTGCTCTCAGAGGCCCTGAGCAGAAGCTCTTCAGGATCTGCCAGAGCACCTGGCTCCAACTTGTCTACCCCAGTAAGAATCAGACATGGAAGATGCCCTAGATGACACCACCCTGCCGACTGCAGACTTTCGTCTCTTATCTTTTATTCCCAAATCCATGTCCCTGGCTCCCTTGGGAATATCCTGGAGTCAGGGAGGTTCCCCGCTGAAGAGGACCCCAAGGCAGAAGGCATAGTGTGTGTGTGTTTGTGACACCTGCTTATCATCACCCTCTGGGCGCCTCAGTGTGCCTGGTGAGAAATGAGAACTGTTAGAAATAGTGCAGGAGGAAGATCGGAGGAACACAAGTGCCAGGAGAGGTTCCATTTCAAATTCTTCTTCCCAGAAGGACACATCACCATGGTTGTGGGAGCTTCCATCTCTTGGCCACAAGCCCAGCGACTGATGTGGACACAGTTTCTGTGACATTTATCCTGTAGACATCGTTCTGATCCCTGTGGTCACAGCAGGCCAGGGAAGGGGGAGTGAGTGGCCTTTGCTGATTAACACTAACACCACAGGTAGCCAGCTGCTCACCCCCAGTACCACCAGCCCTCGTGAAACTTGTGGCTTGCAAGGAACCCACAGGGCTAAGGGGCCAGTGGGTGCATCTGTCTGTTCTCTTTGCCCCTCTCCCCTGAGACCAAGACATCCAAAGGTGAGGAGGAAGGTGGGCTCGGGGCCTGGGCAATGAGAGCACTGCTTATTAAGCGCTACCTCTGTCAGGCTTGGCTACGTCAGGGCTCTGTGGCCTCTCCATCCAAGGTTTCTGAAACAACCATCTCTAGACTAAAACGGCCTGGGCCTGTTTCACTGTGAGGCCACTTCTGATTTCCGTGCTCACCTAGAGAGGCCAGGTGATGTCAGTCGATCCTATTCCCCGACCAAAAAGGGCCAACGCAGGGCAGTTCTACTGGTGTCACTGCTCTGTCACCACATGGTGGTGCCTGGGACCCTCCCATGGGTGACCACAAAGCATGGGAAGCTGTGAGAAAAGCAGGCTAATGGTGGCCTGTCCTCGTCACCCTCAGACGGCAGCACCTCAAGGACACCCTGTTGTTGGGAACCCTCTGGATTGCACTGATTTGTACCATTCCCCTTTGCTGAAGTCAGAGAAGACCCGGAAGGGATGCTTAGAGGAAAGGGCAGGGTCCAAGTTTTAGCACCAAAGGCACTTTTTATACAGGGAAATAAATAAATAAATAAATAAATAAATAAATAAATAAATAAATAAATAAACGCTGCCAAACGCAGTCAACCAACCCATAAACTATAGAAAAGAAAGGGGAAAAAAAAAACAAACAAAAAAAACCCAAAACATTTTTACACTCAAAAGTCTGAGGATAATGAGATGGAGGGAAAAAGGGTCCACTAGTCTGTAACCTCATTAAAACATGCTCATGGTGAAAATTTATTTTACATATTTAAAATAGTACATTTAAAATTATTAGTTACATTACAGGTACAATGATGAACACTGTGGCTCCTCATTATATTGCACAACCTGACTCCATCCATATGGGTTTCTTTAAATAGTGCAAAATGCTTTATACAGGAATGTGTTCAGAAGGGTTTTTCTGCAACCAAAATAAGGAACAGAAATATCTTACAAATTACCATGAACATATATTAAAGTGACAGGGGATGAGAGAAATAAAAATAAAAATTACAATCTGTACAGAGGAATTGCCACGGACAACCAAAAAAAAAAAAAAAAGAAGAAGAAAAAATCCCCTCTCTTTTGGGAGAAGCAGCAGGCTCTGACCTGTCCAGGCCTGGCATTTGTGCTAAGGTCATTTTTGGGGTGTCAATCAAAAAAATATATATATATCAGTAACTTCATACAATATAAATAGAAGTCCAGTCCAGTGAGTCCCGTGGTGGGTCAGGTGTAGCAACGGAAGGCATGGCTTTTGTCACCTAGGGTCTCAGTAGGGTTCTTTTCTTAACGAGTTCGGAGGGGAAAAAAGAAGGGGAAAAATGAACAGAAAATTATAAACGAAAGGGAGAGAAAATTCACCATCACCACCATCACCGCCACCACCACGACCCCAGAGCCGTCTAGCCTAGACACCCCCGAGCTGCGGGCGGTTTCATCGCTCACACCCCAATTCCACACCACCTGATCATGAATAAGCAGTGATTCCCTAGTGTCTGAATTTTGTGTTCTTTGGGGTTTGATTTTTTTTTTTAACCCACAGACTCCTCTCCTGGGAAACCATGGAAGCACTTACTTGATGCTCCCGTCGCTGTTTTCTGCTGCTGCTGTGGCTTTGGTGAGGGGTGCCAGGATGTTGCCTGGGACCCAGCCCTCTGCTGCTGGGGAATGGTCGCTGGCGGGCTGGTACACCAGACACATGTTCTGCTGGTTGACGGCGAGGACCTGGACCACCTCCCCTTGGCTCACACAGATTTCATTCTCCTTCAGTGCATAGTAGTCTTTGATGACGGCCATGGACGAGGTCCCGTTGCAGCTTCCCAGGTCGTTCTGCTAGGAGATGGGGGCAAGAGGGCACACAGATACAGGGAGGATGGTTCGCACGGCTTTGCTCTGTGCCCTGTTGCACGGCTAAAAGGCTAGAACGGCTCGCTGGTGTGATAAAGAGCAAGCAGAACTCTCCTTGGGGAGGACATTCTCGAGAACATGCTCTGAAAGAACATTTTACGGCAGTACAGTATTACGGTCAAAGCGGACGGCTTCAGCTGGTGCCCGGTGAAAGCTACGGACACATCATCAATGGGAAGCTCCTTTCTAGCATGCAGCCTTCCTGTTGGCGTCCACAGGGAGGACCTGTCATCAGCACAGGAGCACGTAAGCACTTGGGCAGAGTGAGGTCAGGGCAAAGGTCAGGTAAGGGTCACAAGCCTCCTCTACAGAAAGAACATAGACCCTTTGATGCTACGTTGCTCCCCCCTGCCTTTTTGAGACCTCACTTGACATGTAATCCTTGCACCTCAGACTCCCCAAGTACTGGGACCGCAGGCATGCGCCACCATGCCCAGCTTATTTCCTTAGCCTTTGAAGAAGCATCACACGCCTGCGCTCCTCATCCTGACCCTCCCTGACACAGGGGTAAGAAGAGTAATGCAAAGGTAAGGCCCTGGGCTACCCTGTGAAACAGAGATCCTGAAAATCTCCCCACCACTGTACCTACTGATACAGGAAGCGCTGCCCACGTGACCTCTTCATGCACGTCTATACCGGGGCAGCTGATCTAAACAGACCTGTAATTCCCCGGGAGGCCAGGCTGCCTCCTAGGGCATGGTGAGAGCCATATGGCTGACAAAATGCCAAAGTGACTTCAACTGATTCACACGGGCAGGGGTCTTTCTAGGGCAGAAAATTATTTCAGGTGATATGATGAAATGGGGGGGGGGGACAGTCACTGCACGACAGGACTGAACTTATACATTAACCATTCACCTGGACAAAATCAGCATCAACGAATGACTTGGGAAAAGGACTAGGCCCATACAATTGGACCACGTAGGTAAGAAATTGGGGTGTTCTGATTCTTAGACCTAATGGGTTCCGGGGAATACTTAGGTCTGAGGGGCAAATTTGCTAAGGTTTAGGAGTAAGTTGGGTTCAGGGTTTGGAGCAGGAACCGAATCATCTGACCCCTGACCTGGTTAGCACTTCCCCATTTCTCTCCTGTTCCCGCTGTGGTTTAGCACAAGGCCAGCTAGCAGATCGTGCCTGCGTGTGGTGCTGGCAGTGTGGACTACGGAGCCTAGCTTCCCCATGCGTTCATCAGTGAACGATCGGCTTCCCCTCGCCACATCAGCCAGTGGTGGGTGAGCTTCCATAGGGGCTGGTGCACGCCACTGTTAGACCGGGGCCATGTCTTTCCGATACGGCAAACAGGAGCTGCGGTCTAAGGCGCCCACTTTCCCTGATGCCACAGGAGTCCCCCCACGTGTAGATGCTAATGGCCCTTTAACACACAGTGTCCCAGCCAGAAGGAACTGGTTTCAGTCAATCACAAGGAAGGAGAGAAAAGGAAGTGAGACCTGATCCTATTTGATGGATTGCTCCTGCTGCAGTAACTGGCTGGAAGACGCGGCTTCCTTAAAGCGACCTCGGAGGTCTTCGAGGTGGTAGGGGTTCTGAATAACAAGCTGCCCTCTCACCTTGCTAGCTTCAAACTTGTCCCCCGGCTGGTGGTAGTCGAACCCTGGACTGCCGTTGGAGGTAGATATCTTCAGGGGTGGCAGAGGCGGGTTGTAGCTGGAGCCCTTGGGGGGCTTCTCTGAGCCCACGGGGACAGAGGAATAGGGCCTGGGGCTGGCTTGCGGCACTCTAGGCGGCTGGGACCGGATCACGGCTGTGCTCCTTTCCTTCCGCTGATACTCAATGGGCGACTGTAGTGCTGCGGGGGTTAGGAGAGCCAGTTACTCTACCTTCAGGAATCCCACGGGGGTGCAGAGACCTGCTGGGTACCAGCATGTATGCTAGGCTGTGTGTGAGTATATACGTGTGTGTGTGTGTCCTTCAGAAGGAGACTGCCACTCTGACATTTAGGAAGCATGCGTGAAGCACTGGGAACAGGTAGCTCCCAAAATACCTGTCTGTAAGGGTCACAGGTCTCCATGGAAGAGGAGGGGACAGAACAGGTAAGGGAGACGGGGTAGCATGGTGTCTAGAAGGGTCAGTGACGCTTGAGGTCAGCCTGAAGAAGATGAGAGGTGGCTGTGCGAAATAACCTTAAAAGTTTTACACTCAGATCCTGTCACCGAGGTGCGCCTGAGGAACATTAGCAAGCAGATCTGAGAGGAGCAGGCAGAAGGCTTCCCATCTAACTCAGAAGCCATTTCCAGGCCAAAGCCAAACAAGAGCTCGGGGGACATGGAGCGGGGAGAGAGCCGAGCTGGAAAATGAACTCCAAAATGGCAATAGGAGATGAAGAGATCAAGCAAAACGGAAGTGGCGGCAACTCAGAGAGCGACCAGCTCGGAGCTCTAAAGAGGTACAGCCAGGAAAAGCCACCGACGCAGACTGCTGTGTGAAGGACTTTCGGGGCAGGCACAGTTAGGCCATTTTTATCGCTGTTTACTGCAGCAACTATTTAAGCGGATTAACAGCTGCTGCGGCCCAGCACACAGTGACGGGTGCAGCATGGATTTCTACAGACTTGGCGGGGTCACGCCCTCCTTTCTAATCAGGTCTCAGGAGGGAAGCTGGGCGGAGGTGCCTGTACTCGTGTCTGTACGGAGCCTGGTCCTGTTCCATCACTGCATCATCTTCTCTCAAGTGTACCGAACACACAGCAGGCCTGCCAGCGCCCAGCCCCCTCGGCTCCCGGGGAGAACACTGCGGGGTGTTAAATAATTAGGTGGCGATGACCTGGTTCAGCGATACCTATGACGCGGAACTGGGAGCTATGTGATTATGCACAGTGACTACTCTAAAGCACCGGAAATACTGTTTTTCTTCAACAAACCATGAAGAAGACTAGGCCTGTATTCTTTGACTAGCCTTCCCTGGAATAGCTCGGTCTTGAGATCAGGAAGCCTCTTTCTCTTACTCAGTCCTGCCACATGACTGCTGCAATTGCAGACCTGGACCGCCGCGCCAAGCTCAAAACACGGCCATTTCTGACCGTGAGTTTTTGTCTTTTGGGTTCAGTTTCTTACATCTGGTCACCTGCCTGGCTACCCCTCTCCCACGTGCCTTTTCCCCCTTCCCTCTTTCTTTGCTGGGGAGTGATGGATAAATGTCCCCTCTGCCACTGGCGGCTCTCAAGTCACAGGTTTTAGTTCTGACCCTTTTCTTTTTTTCTTTGCTTTTGTTTTTTTTGGGACAGGGCTTCTCTGTGTGGTCCTGTCTGTCACTCTACAGATCAGGCTGACCTCGAACCTGGAGATCCACTTACCTCTGCCTCCCAAGTTCTGGGATTAAAGGTGTGCACCACCACTGTCAAGTTCAGACCCTTTTCTGAGACCTACTGCTTTTGCCTTAGACAAGTTTCTTAATGGATCCAAGTCTGTTTTTTTTTTTCCTCGTCCGAAAAAAAAAACAAAAAACAAAAAACAAAAAACAAAAAAACAAACCCAGGATGATAATACAGCCATGTTGTGTTGACGTGGGGATTAGGCACGAAGAAACAGACAAAAATGCCCAACTCCTGGTGCAAAGGAGGGAATGAAAACATGGGAGCCACTATTGCTAATTTGTTTATTTCTGGTTTTAACTTACTATTTTTTATTTTACTTTGGTTCTGGTATTGAACCCACCAGAAATCCTTTATAGAATGTAATTTACATGAAGCTACTCTACATATACAGATGTTTTTCCTTTAAGTCATACTAGGAACAAGCTGTGTTTATTCAAAGTTGCATATTCAGAAATTGTAAGCTGTATAGCTTTCAGTTCTAACCTGTGCTGTTCAATTGTCGATGTTTCAGAATAGAAAAGAATCTTGGGAGCTTGTAGTGTTTCCCAACGACCTTTTCCATGTTGGGAACATGGCCCCTAAATACTCTGGAATCCTGAAAAGGCATTGAACTTCCACGCCATGGGATCTTGCTGGGCTTGGTGGCACATCCCAGCACTCGGGATAGGTGGAACTCTATGGGTTCAAGGTCAGCTTGGTCTACAGAATGAGTCCAGGACAGCCAGGGCTATATGAGAAACTCTGTCTTGAAAAATAAAAACAAACAAACAAACAAAACAAAAAAACAACCAAACAAAGTCATGGGATCCTGTTTATAGCCTTCACTTGTTCAACACCCAGATGACTTTTTTTACTTAAGGTACTTTTTCCTCCCTTAGTGCTGGGATTACAGGTATGCGCCACTGTGCCTGGATAAAGGTACTTAAAAAAAAAAAAGTGCCTCTTTAAAGGCTTTCAAACTCAAGAAGACCCCATGAATACATGCTAAGCAGGTACTCAATCACTGAGCTATGTCCCCAGTCCTAACCTTTTGTTTAAAGATGAAAACATTGTGTCGCTTTCTTTACCATGGAGGAAAGTGACAGGGCAGGGTGGGAGCCAGGCTGTTTTATGGCACTTCCTGCTTGCCCACCCTACGCCTCAGCATGGGCAGAACAGATCTAGCTCTAGTCTCCTCTGCAGAAAATGAGCTGGGCGGGGCACAGAGAAGCCGTGTGTCCTGCCCAAGGTCCTCAGCTAGGGTGGGACCTCCTGCCACAGCATTATCTCTCCCCATAGCGTTCAGTTCCACGCTGGATTGCTGGTGAATGCTATGCTCGCTTCATTGGAAGGACTCTAGAAACTCCACTGTCAAGAAGAGGGGCTAGACCGAGGGGGGGCCCATGAGAGTGTGTGTGTAGGTGCAAGCACACAGGACCGTGTGCGAAAAATCTCAAGAGAGGCAGCAAGCGCACCCCAACGGGGTCCATCGTTATGTGCACATACGTGTTTGAGTGTGTGTGGCAACTAAAAGAGGTACATGCCAACTCCTTGCTACTGTGCTGATAAGAAGCAATGGGGTACCTGGGGTTTGTAGACACACACAGGCACATACGTACGGGGACATGCGGCCGTGTGTCCAGCGCAGAGCTCACAGGTCATGCACCTGAGAGTGACGCCCTATGTGTCTGTTGTGCTGGCGAGACTATTCACTCACTGCATTCCTGCTCCCATTTCGCCTTCAACTTCAGGGTCCGGCTCAGGAGAGCAGTAGTACCTGCCAGCTGTCCGCCTCCACTCACATGCTAAGCTAAAGGTGAACGGATACCAGCAGGGGCGGAGGTGAAGAAGAAACGAGACAGCAGTTCTACTTCACCTCTTACGGGTGCCTGTAGGGTCCACGTTATTTGAGCAGCCACCAGTTTGTGGTGGGAGGTTTGGGAACTCCTGAGTTAGGTGTAGCAACTGTTTCTCATTTGAAGGGGGCAAGGCCAGCTAGATGGTTAGCTTAGCCAGGCTCTCATCTGTTGGGAAAGGGGAAGAAGGATTCGAACTGCTTTACCAAACTTCTAGTTGCCTCAAGAGAGTACCAGCCACCAGCTACAAGGTGGAAGGACAAAGATCATAGAACTCAGGGGCCTATAATACAGCATGTGCCTGTCTTATCCTTTTCCCCCAAATTATTACCAGTTGACAAAGACAGACCTACACCGTATCCGACATACAAGTACCCCTTTCATTAAAAACATGAGGCTTCCTTCTCACACCTATCTGCTCCATTTATGCCTTCATGTGAAGAGGATTCTGAAGGGTCTCTGAAACTATAGATATGCTTGGAGACCAGAGAGAATGTGGCCTGGCCTCACAAGTCTCCATGAACATAGACCCCAGGATGCTCAGTGGCAGGGTTCCCTGAAACGGCCTTGCTATAAGCGGGCGCATCACGTACCATTTAAGAAGTCCCTCTGTGTCTCTAGGACTTGACTGATGTCCTGCACCCATGCCTGCTGGATGTCTGGGTTGGCAGCTTGCAGAATGACCCTTTCGGAAGTCTCCCTGTTCATGAGTGCAAATCTGCAGGGGTCATTGTCGACGTTCTCTTCCAAGACCAAGTAATTCATCTGAAGTAAAACAAGTTTATCGTTTTCATACTTTAAGGAGTTAAAATTAATCACACCCTACTACTATATTTCATAGTTGTTTTTTTTATTACACTTACGCTTTTTTTCACTTGTATTTACCTATCTATATCTGTCTGTCTGTCTATCTATGTTTTGACTGTGTGTGTGTGTCCTGGCATCACATTCATCCTTGGTGCCCATGCGGGTAGGAAGAGGCATCAGAGCCCCTAGATCTGGAGTAACAGATGGTTGTGAGTCACCACGTGGGTGCTGAGAACTGAGCCCAGGCCCCCTGGAAGAGTGACCAGTGCTTTTAAGGGCTAAGACATCTCTCCAGCTTCTCTTTCAAAGTTTTTAATCTCAGGAGAGGTTTTCAAACTTACTCTGGATCAAGGGGTAAAGACTCAAGCTTGCTCTGTCTTTGGGTGAATGACACGGATGGGCGAACCTTCAAGACCATGCTGGGCCTGTCACTGCTTCTCATTGTGATCACCAGTTAGCTTCAGCCTCCCGAGATATTCCTTGCCCCATTGTACCCCCACTGTCCCCTGTCACCTTGATGCTCCTTTTAAACATGTAGCCTGGGGTGAGGGACCCTTTCCGGAGCAGTTCACTGAAGATGACGATCTGCTCAAAGAGAAACACCCGCCTCTCCTTGGTCCGGGACTGCATGCCAGCATCCAGCTCGATCACATAGAACGTGTCTTGCTGCAGAAGCTTGCCCTGGGCGGTCAGGGTGCCCTGAGGGAGACAAGGGTCCAGGGGAGGTCGTGAAAAGCAGGGAGACGGATTCAGCTCTCTCAGGCTATATGCTTCCTACCTCTGGGGGATGTAGACGATAGAACCGATATTCAAAGCCTTAGAATTCTAGCAAGACACTGAATGGGGATCCAATTACTCAACTGTCATTTCTCTGTTTATATAAGGTTGCTTGAAAAAGGGGGGGGGGCTTAGGTGACAGAATCAACAAGAAATAATGCCCCCCAAAATGCCAGAAGAAAACAGCTAAAAAGGAATAAACGATCTTGGCGTTACCTTTTTTTTTTTACTTTTGAGTCAGAGCTGCACTGTTATAGCTGTGGCTGAAACTCACTATGTAGACTGGCCAGGCCTTGAACTCTCAGAGATCCATCTGTCTCTGTTTCTTAAGTGATGGGTTTCAAGGTGTGGGCCACCTTGTCTGGTGCTTTCCTGGTTTTCTTTCTTTCTTTCTTTCTTTCTTTCTTTCTTTCTTTCTTTCTTTCTTTCTTTCTTTCTTCCTTCCTTCCTTCCTTCCTTCCTTCCTTCCTTCCTTCCTTTCTTTTTTAATTAAAAGAGAGTAGCGGTGCTTGGAGCTGGAAGTAGCCTATCCTCCCTTGTAGCTTTGACAATCTTGTCCGCCTGTCTTCTCTGTGGCATGGGACAAGGACCCGGGGCACTCTCATGGTGGCCAAAGAGACTGATATAGACAGGATCATAAAGAACCAGATGAAGTGGGCCCCTCTCATATCCTTATATGATTTAAGACAGGGATACTCTGAAGTTTTAGTTTCTTGCTAAGACTGACAGGTGAGGTTGGGGAATATAGATCAGTACCTTATTTCAAAAGGTCAGAATTATTTCTCTGGATCCCGTGATCCTTCTTAGAACAACTCCAGCTACTCAGCTGGGGTACGAAAGCACATCTATTTGCCAACTTCTAACCAGGTCCCCAGAGACATTTTTAAAGGGAATGTGTCCATGCAGCAGACGACTATTAGAAAGCCTCGCTATTTATCATTTATTTATTTAATTTCTGTGCAATAAGAAGACGCTGGCATCTGGGCTGGAGGTCAGAGGGTCTATGAAATACACTCTTCCTTAGGGACAACTTTTGCCCCTTAGTGGAAATGTCAGTCATGCCTTGCACGTGATGCTATATTCCAGGCATTTCCTGGCACAGGGGTCATTTTTCCTTTGTGTTGCTGAGAAACACCTGCCCTTCGCTTGGACTGTGGCTCTTGACTGCCAAGGTCAGCAGGAGAACAGGCTTATCTTGACCCTGGTCTAGAGTTAATATTAAGCCAGTGACCAGCTAGCCAGAAAAGCTCTACACATTCTATTAAAGTTACACAAGAACACAGGGGCGCAGGCAGCCAGCGCCAAAGGGAAAAACCACAAGATCTGAGAGGGAGACAATGGCACTGAGGAGCCCAGAGAGGGAGCAGGCATATGCTCACTGTCCTTCCCAAATCAGCCGAGGGAAAGCAGACAGGTTCACTGTGGCTGAAAATACCGGACATCGGGCCTTGATTTACAAGAGAAAACTTTACATTTCCTTGTGCGGCTTTATAGTACGTACACACACACACACACACACACACACACACACACACACACGTGCGCGTGCACTTCCAGTCTTAGGTGGGTGGGTCAGATAGCACAAATGGATCCCCTCCCTCCTTTCAGTAGTCACTTCCTGGAGGGACTCGAAGCTAATCAGACTCCTATTCAGAAATCACCAGGAGTCTGGGGTTGAAGAGTTAAGAGGCAGGGCAGGCACTCAATTTGCTTGTAGTAGCCCCAGGCGTGGTGTGAGGCCAGGAGAGAAAAGTATAAAATCTCTCCAGGAAGACTAACAAGAAACCACTCGTGGACTCATGAGCGCGTGTGAGCCGAGTAACTCCACTTACGCTCATAGCTGACGGAGGTCTGGCTTAGAGAGCTGAGAACCTGTGAAAATGTGCCACCTGGTCCCTACCACAACAAAGCATGGGAGCCAGGCAGGGGCATGGACTATGGACTGGAAGGGAGAGGAGGACAACCCAAACTGGGCTGTAGCATCTCCCACCTCCAGTGTTCTGCACATTGTCTGTGCTACCGTGGCAAGGCTGGGCTGGGGAGCACCGCTTGCCTAATTATCTCAATGGCCAGGAACCCTTTCCTCCAAAAAAAAAAAAGGCATAATGATACCTTAAGTCTTTGGGATCACCGGGAGGTAGGGATTATGAAAAGAGAGATTTGGATACAGAGATAATATCACATCCAGAGGGAAGGCGGTGGGATATGGAAATGCCACAGAAACTCGAAGAAGCCACCAACTAAGGAGGGAGGGTGGGAGCGGGTCCTCCCTCACAGTTGCTCAGGCCTCAGGCGGCTGAGGAGGAACGCTTGTCATTTAAGCCACCCAATGCACACAGCTCCGCTCCTGCGGCTCTTCCAAGGCAGTGTCCCTGGGACACCTCGCCATTTTCCCTTGAGACTTGGTTCCCTTGACAAGGGACTGAAAACATGCTGTGTGATGTTTTAGAGGTCTGCACTTTCACTGACCTAAAATCCAATCACTACACAGGCTTCTGTAAAAGACTGATCGCCTGGAGAAGAGCTGATTTTTCCCTCCCGGATCCCTGGCTCACCACACACCCTGCCCTGCCTCGTATGCTCACGCTCACATCAGAGGGACTGCGGCTCAGTCTTAAGGAACTTTGTCTCTTTCTAATCCCCATGGAATTTGGATCCTGGTTTGGCCCAGAGCTTTAGTTCCGCCTTATCACTGAACTTCTGCAAGAGTTCTAACTTGCAGATCTCTGAACTGGAAGGGCAGTATCCAGGCCCAGGGCTTCAAAGGGAAGGGTCTCTATGGCCTGGCTCCTGGGTGTGTGTGTGTGTGTGTGTGTGTGTGTGTGTGTGTAGAAGTACTCGTAAGGGCTCACCTCAAAGCCTTGCAGGCGTCCCAGATTCATCATGTCATTGCAGCGCTTGGGAACAAGGCACATTAACTCCACTGCTTTCTGTTGGAAAAAGAACGCATCACTCAGGATGGGGGACCAGCATCAGGGAGGAAGCTCACAAAACTCGGGGCTGGAAAGAGGGACTTATCTCCCTTAGTCCCTTTGTTCTCAGAGAGGGTGCGGTCCCTGCTGCCCACTCTCTGAGGACTGTGTGGGGTTCTTAGATAAGAGAGGCTGGCATTAGCACAGGGCCACCAAGTCAATAGTGACAACACACGGGGGAATGTTACCCAGCCCATCCTTTTTCTACCTCTGGCTTTCTCTGTATAGGGTTTCTCTGTATAGGCTTGGCTGTCCTGGACTCACTTTGTAGACCAGGCTGGCCTTGAACGCAAGAGATCCACCTGCCTCTGCCTCCCTGTGTGCCTCCATGCCTGGTCTAACTCCTGCTTTTATTATCCCCCTCCCTTCTATTTTCTTACTTTTCTGTGTTGCCTTTGGAGTATCCAAGTAGCAGCTTGGCTTCATTGTTGAAACGCAGGAGGTTTTGACCTCAAATAACCCGCCAGAAATGGCTGCAACCTCTTTGGCTTAAAATAATCCCTATGGCAGCACAATAGTCACTAAGGGGATAATCCTCAGGGTATGTGGGGGAATGGAAATAGAATAATTTATGTGTTAGGGCCAAATGGCACCTGGAGCCAGGGATAGAGATGCATTTTGAATCTCTGCAATTTTACCAAGTGTCAAATGTCACTTTTCCCATATACCCAGCAAGAGCCACAAACACCAGTGGACTAGGCTCTGGGTTGGATTCTTGAATTCTCAAAAACACTCTGTGCTCAGTAGCACTTGCCATTCCTCATGCTGCTGACTAAGAGGGGCGTGGCTTGGACCCTGGACCTCCTTTGGGGACAAGATACTCGATATGGTCCCTAAGAACCAGCAAGCATTGCAAGCACAAACCTACCTCGATATCTGAACACTCCAAACCAGCCTTCTCACTGTATCGCAGGAAGTCCTAGCGAGGAGGAAGGGCGTGGGAGGGGTGAATCAGATAATAAAATAGCCAGAGAGCCATTAAAAAGAAAAAAAAAAAAACCTTATCATAAAAAACGCAACAACACCCCAAAGACTTCCCTTCCCAGTGGAGGCGGGCCATGCTTTGTAGTGGCTGAGAAATGAAAGGATGAGTCACATACATAAGGACACCGAGAAAGACTCCAGAAAATGGCAAATAAGCTGGAAGAAGGGAAGGAAGGGGCCCATGACAAGACAGACAGGAGAAAGCAAAGTCAAGTCTTACTCTTCCACTTGACTTTGTTTTCTTGTTTCCAGAAAGGACCAAAAAAAAAAAAAAAAAAAAAAAAAAAAAAAATCAAGTTGAGTGTTTAGAATCTAATTAGATCTTAGCGACTATGTAAGGTCTCCTGGGCGCCCCTTCCCTTATCTGACATCCTGATCTTATATTCTTGCTATTGTCTAGGGCTTTGCTGTTGTTTGTGTGACATGGGGTCTCATTCCACAGCCCAGGCTGGCTACACACGCATGACCTTCTTGCCATAGAGTCCTGAATGCTAGGAGTAGAGATGAGTGGCGCCATGTTTGCCTTATACTTTAGTTTTCAAAGGCACCGAGTCAGCGGCTGTAACAAAATGAGAGAAGGAGCTCAGGGTGGGGGTATAGTTTAGAACGGCAGTTCTCAACCTGTGGGTCGTGACCCTGCTGGGGGGGGGGCATATAAGATATTTACATTACGACTTATAGCAAAATGACAGTTATGAAGTGGCAAAGAAATAATTTCATGGTGTGGGGGGTCAGCATAGCATGAGGAACTGTATTCAAGGGCTGCAGCCTTAGGAAGGGTGAGAATCACTTTATCTAAAGGTAGGGTCCTTGGCTCAGTTCCCCAAAGGAAAGATGAAAGAGCGAGATAGGTGTGGGGAATAAAAGGAATCGAAGAAAGAAAAGCAAGGAGCAAGCAACCTCAGGGCAGAAACAAGGGCCATGCAAGCTATTCATGCACAAAGCTAAGTGACTAGCAGCTTTGCAGCCCTGAAGGACAGTGTCACAGAAATGATCCCGAGCTCTGTGGCCACTGCTCCAGCCTGAGGAGACGCTTCTCCAGCCTGGCTCCCAGCTTCTCACCTTGAGTAGCAACTGATACTTTGTTATTCTCTGAATGGGCTTGATGAGGAAGTCGCTAAGGGTCAGCCTTTGATTGATCTCTTGTTTCACCTCCTGAAACACAAAGATGCAAAGAGGTGAATGGCTCACAGCTAGGCCCTGAATAGTCAGGGTTCTTTCTAAAGGGTGGTATTGCCTCTTCCCCAACAGAAGAGATCCTGCTAGGCTGAGGAATCCACACCCTTGGAAGTGCGGGACATAGGAATGATATTAGAAATGAAGGCTCCCAATGCTTGGGACGCTGTGGATGGACTGAGTTCAAAGGTGCCAGGGACCAGCTGTGATGCTGGCTAGAGGCTGAGAACAGAAACTGACTATGAAACAACGGTACATCCTTTAAGCTTGGGGCAGGCACTTGGCAATATTTCTAGGGGCAGGTAGGGAAGAGTTGTGGACACGATCTGCTCAGTGGTCACGTGAGGACAAGAGCCTCCATAGACAGTCTGTGATGGAATCTTTCCACAAATGGAGGCTTCTCAGCAGAGCCACCTCAGCAACTCTTCAAGCAAAGGTGCATGTGGGGGATGGGCCTAAGAAGGTAACAGCCCCGTGGAGGCAGGGGCACCTGCTGATGGAGGATCTGGGGTATGTCTCAGTGCAGCTGTCTCGGCCTGAGCATCTCACCCCCAAGGGAATGGCTCACCTCAAAGTAGGAGTCGTATTCAGCCACGATGTACTCGGAGCGTGGCTTGTTCTGGCAGTACCATACATAGATGTGCAGCTTCCGCTCCTGGGACAGAAGAAAACGGGACCATCAGGGACCTTGGCTTTCCGCTCACTCCCGCTGCCCCTAGCCCCCTCCAGAGTCAAGGGCAGTTAAGGACAAGGAATGGGCCATGTTAAAGGATAAGGCAGGGCAGTGAAATGGCCAAATGTGGTAAAACAAAACGAAACGAAACAAAACAAAACAAAAAACCAGGGTGCTGAGAGAGAGCAAATTTAAGAAGAACTGAATTTCAAAATGAGCGTTTTGGCACGGGGTGGGTGGGTGGGGGATGGGAGCGTGTTGGCACAGGGCAGGGGATGGGAGATGGGAGACAGCTGGATTGACACTCACATGTTTAATGAAGAGCTGGGCCAATCTGTCTTGCTCTTGGATACATTTTTCCAGTTCAGCCAGGAAAAAGCTAAACGGGGAGAGAAGACGTCTTGAGGAGACACCGTCTCTCAGTGGTGACATAAATGACAGGAGTCTCCCCTCAAATACCCCGGCTCAGGTCAGACGCAAAGGGGCACATGCCCCACCCTCCGGGCAGCACATAACTCACTCTTTATGCCAGTCATAAATCTGGTGGATGTTTCCAAACACAATCTTGTCCTTCCCTCGCATATCCTCAGGGACCCCCTTCTCTTCTATTCTCTTCATGAAGCCCTGCGAGGCGGAGGTGACGGAGGTGGGAGGTGACGTTAGCAGCAGACTTTACAGGCGGAGGTCTGGGCCACGCCCCATCCCTTAGCACCCATGTTAGTCCGCACTCTCTGTGTGGACCTGAAGATAGCACTGTCGTGGTGTCTTCCACTCAGCTAGGCCCCACCGCCCTCTACATGCATTAAAATATCCCAGGAGGGAAAACAGAATCCGCCTCCACATTCTGTCTGAATTTGTAGCCTTTTTATTCTCATTTCAGCAAATTCCCAGAAAGTCGAATGGGTATAGCCATTAGGCTGGTGCACCTGGGCCCAGGTAAGGTCCAGATACACCCTACCCTGCCCTCTGCTTACCTCCACCACAATCCCCAGGTCCTTGACGTAGTCCTTCTCTGTCTGTACCAACTCATTCAGAACAAACCTGAGCAAGGGATAAGGACAGTGAGACGCCTACTCATCCCTAAGCAAGAGATCCCATCCCTACCCTCCAAGACAAGACCTCAGATGATCAGTAAGCTCTGATCCTCCTGCTTTCCCCTCTTGAGCGCTGAGGTTTGAGATGTAGGCTACCACAGCCCATTACGCACAGTGCTGGGTGGGGATTGAACCCAGGACTTTGTATACGCTAGGCAAGCACTCTGTGAACCAAGTCGCGCCCCATCTCCTCTTGTAGAAACATAGCGTAGAAACAACTGTAACTGCCTTTTTTTTTTTTTTTTGCCAAAGCCAAGTTATGAAAGCTTTGAGACCAAGGGATCAACACGAGACTTTTCTTTCTTTATTTTGGCTCCATTCTTATCTTAGCGAAAGAAGAAAGGCATTTGTGCGATAACTAGCCTTAAAAGGCTGCATCTGGGAGATGCAGATATAGAGCAAAGCTTCTATAACACATACTCGGCAGTTAGTCGGGAATGTATCCAAGCAAAATCCTCAGTCAGGGCCACAGACCTGGGGTTGGCTGCGGACATTCCACGTTCACACCTTTGAATATAGCATTTCCTACCCCAATATGGGACTGATAACCAAGGGCATTTGCTTTCTTGGACTCTGTGAATTACTTCCATCTCTTAGAGCATTTATTATATACCCGTTACCCCATCCGGGCTTTCTCATGCTTATAACGAGGCGAGAGTTATAAAATCCTATTATTTAAATCCTGAGAGAGATGGAAAGGCTCAGTGACCTGCCCAAGCCTACAAAGGAAAGAGCAGTAAATGTCAAGGGTCCAGAGATTATCTTTTTCTAGTAGCCTGCTGCCTAGGGAATGGCCTGGCCGGGCCTCCGGCATCCCTCAAGTCTCTATCCCGCTCCCTCATTCAGTTCAGAGAGTCAAACACCATACAGAAGACGCCATAGTTATGTGCAGGGCACAGAGGTCCTGTGTTCACAGGAGTCAGAAAGAATTGTGCCCGGAGGCACACCAGCACTTGTTTTTTGGCCCAAGTGACAGAAGGGATAACATTCTGGGATGTCAAAGAGGACTTGTAAGTGTTACAACCCAGCAACTATTCTAAACCCAGGAAGCGATTCATCTGAAATGCTTGTCCTACACAGCACAGAGGAGCTACTGAATCCCGGGTCCGGGACCTCGGAGCATACGGAGGAGGCGAAGAACACACGCTTTATCAGTGTGCTCAGTGTTCCCAGCTGGCTCCCTCCCTCCAACACATGAGCATGTGTTTCAGGCCACGGGAAGGAACTGGCAAGGAAAGACAGAAGCCTTTAGACGTATCTTTAGCATGGCCCAAGTTACTTCCTGAAAGAGAGCTGTAAGTGAAAACCCACAGGGGAGCGAGAGTGGGAATTCGGGGCTGAGATGGCCCTTTGGCGAGGAGGGCTCGTGCCCTGCTGCCAGGTAGCGAGCAGTATTTTTATCTTCAGTCGTTTGCTGACCAACGGAGGTTGTCTCGGTTTTTGAGTCTCTAGAAAAGGCCCGGTAAAGTACCTGGGAAGATGAGACGTGATCAGAGAATTCTAGCTGGTGTGGTAGGGAGCACGCCTAGTCTCCTAGTACTTGAGAGCCAGGAGAATCAAGAGTTTGAGGACAGCCTGGGATATATAACAAGACTCCTTCAGAAGACAAACCAGAGCTAGGCTGGTATAGGCGGTACGTGATTAACTGCCAAACCAACTGAAACTAATGCAACTCTTTTTCATCCCTACAGTAAAAGTCACTCACAAAAAGAACGTCTTCCTTTGCTCTACTTGAAAAATCTTCCAGCTAACAAATGGGCCTTAGATTAGTTACTTTTCTTTTTGTTATGACAAAATGCCTGACAAAAGCAACTGACAAATAAAGGAAGGCTCTACTTTGGCTCATGGTTTAAGCGGGTACACTCGGCCTTGGTGGGGAGGGCACAGCGGGGAGAAGCGGAAGCAGCTGGTCATATTGTATCCGTACAGATCAATGCTGGTGTTTAGCTCAGTCATTCCCCCATGGGATGATGCCACGCACGCTCAGGGCTGGTCTTCACAGACATACCCAGAGTTGTGTTTCCCAGGGGATGTTCATTCAGTCAGGCTAACAGCGAGGGTGAGCCATCTTGTATCTGCCCTCTTTCACACTGGTAGGGTTCGGGTGGCCTTCCACGGGGAGCTGTGAGCACGGAGCGTGCCTCTGCTGAGATCCTGCTCCTCCTGGTGAGGTCCTTACCTCTTCCTGCTCTCTGTGCATGGCTGGAACCACTTCAAACCACAGCACGGCCTTACTGGAGCTTGGTTCTCTTCATTCCACTCTATTTTAATTTCCTCTCTAGATTCCAACCTACTACTTAATTTATTTTGTTTGTCTGATTTCTCCCATTAGAATGTAAACGTTGCACGGGTGAAGACTTTCTGTTGTTGCTGTTGTTTGTCTTATCCCGTTGGTGGGACAGATGTGCTCAGCAAGCATCTGGTGAGTGATGAGTGGCTGAAACTTCAGGGCAGCAAGCCCACAGTCAGCCTCTCCCTCCTTCCATACAAATCACACTTGTTTTCCTCTTCTCTCCAAGTGGCTCTCGTTTAACTCGTGGGTGTCCTCCTGCCATCGCCTGATTGAGCCTCCAGTGTCTACACCTCTGCTTCTAGCCTCTTACAACTGAACACCAATGTACCTGCCCTTTCATGTCTGCCATGAAGTAGAGCAGGCTAGAGAGAGGACATCAACAGTAAGAGACATTCAAGAGAGTTTTCAAGAGAGTTTAGGATGTGGAAAGTGGAGGGTTTGCTGAGAGGCCAATGAGAGGAGTCAGTTTTCAAGAGAGTTCAGGATGCGGAAAGTGGAGGGTTTGATGAGAATCCAATGAGACAAGCATTAGTGCGGCGGGCTAAGGAGCAACAAATGTTTCTGCCTTGTTATAGCAAAATCAAACGATAACCTCATTTGGATAATGACAAGTGCTGTTAAGGTCCATTCAGTCAGAGTGACAGTCAAGGAGACTGGCTTTTCCAAAAACCACCTGTCATCTCACAGATGGCTTCCTTGACATAAGCCGCGCTTCATCTTGACAAAGGTCTAGGAGCCAGTTCTAATCCTCCAATTCCAACTAGTGTAACAACCACAGGAGAAGCTAGGGAAGGGCCTGTGCTGTGCAAGGCCCAGGAAACTTCACTTTGGAGATGACAGCGCATTCACATAATTCCTGGGGTCCTTCTGACCTGACCCTCAAGAAGTTCTGGGGGTAAACACAGGTGTTAGTTTACATGACACTTACTCCTCTCCAGTATGCGGTGACAGCCCTGCTTTGATACAGGCTCTTGCTATGATGTTACCACTTTTGCTTCCAAGGAGACAAAGCCCAAAATGTTTACTTTGTCTATCTGCCAGCAGCCAAAGGACTTGGCCTCAGTTATTTCTGCTCGGTTTTATGTTTGTGGCCTGGATAAAGAGCGATGGATGTAATAGAGAGCAGAAGACAGACAATAAGACAGGACCCTTCACATCTGTCTAGCCCACTCTGAGATCAACCTCACACACGGACAACCTCACACACCGAGTTACTGGAAGCTTGCCTCCAGAGGAAGGAAAGGAGAAAAATTAAGTTCTGGCGGAGTTTCGGTTCTATTTTGCTGATGTCCAGTGTGGTCTTCACTATCTCAAACACCAGGACACTGACTTCCCATCGAGGTAGGGAGCTCAAATCTTACAGAGCATGTGGGTTTTTGCAAGATGCAAACTGCATCTTTCCTCTAGTCAGTCAAAGTGAGGGGAGGTTCTTGCACAATAAAACCTACAAATGGATGTGAGATTAAAGACCTGGGAGAAGAAGCAAAAACGGGCCCCACCTAGCAGCACGACCTTTCCTATGCTTCTTTTGCCCACATTCGGGGAGCATCCCCTCAGACATCTCCACTGGACCTCTGCCACAGCCAGGGACTCTGGTGCTGTGGACCCAGCGTAACCATCCACCTATTCTCTGAATTCTATTGTTTTCATTTTTTTTTTTTTTAGCATGTTTTACAGCTGTATTAGATCTTGGTTATAACCGTGACAGCGACATCACAGAATATTCCCTCAGACCAAAGCTTCATGGAGGTGGTGCCAAAGTGGTCCTATTGATGGTCAGTGTTGCGCTGTACAGGCCTGGCCATTCTCCCTTAGAAAGGATGAGAGTAACAGACCGACAGCACGGGGCTGCCCGTCTAGTGCCCCGCCCCTGGCTTCTGTCCAGCACACAGGATAGGGTGGTGGGGCCACTTACATCCTGCCTCTCAGAGCTTTGGCTTTCTGTTCTTCTTCCAGGTTTCTAGGAGGTGTGGGAGGGGTCATGGCCTCATTCAGGCAGCCGGTAGGGTCCTTCAAACTCCCCCGGTAAGAGCCTCCTTCCAGAGTCTAGAAAGAGAAAGAGAAACAGCCTCAGAGTGAGCACCGGAAAGTTATTTTTGCAAGCCCTGTTGTCTTCCCAGCCTAGTCGCAGGCAATATGAAAGCCAGGAGCAAAGGCTGTTCTCTCTGAACCACAGTGGTGCACTAGGAGACCGGAGTCTTCCACCTTCCTACAGCCAGGAGTGGCTGTCCATAATCAGGGCACAGTAGGCTTCCGCATGAAAAGGGCACACCAGAGACCCATGTGATCAGAGCACACTGGGCATCCATGTGCCACCAACTGCCCAGACACAATGAAATTGTCATGGCGACTTATCTCTGAGAGAGGGTTCCAGCAGGAAAGAGAGCAAACCACTGCGATTCTATACCAAATAAGGCATTGGGAAGAGAAACAGTTGTAGGACCACTTGGTGCAAATTGATAAGCCAAGGGAAGTGACAGGCCTAGGAGGTGGAAAGCATACTTTGTTATATTAACTGCAAGGCTTGGGAAGAAGACTCTGACAGCCAACAGATGGAGCCTTTTCTAAAAGCATCTTTCTTAATGCTATTTACCAAGGGCTCTCTCTCACGCATCCTTATTTCCATTAATTAAAGTGCCACATAAGGGGCTTACTTACTTGAGAAAAGTTAAGTAAGTGGATTAATACAGTGATCTAGAAGCAGCGAGAAAAGGAGCCTGACATCTGACCCCAGATCTGATGAACACAGAGTGCTCTCGTGGACCTGAAACTGTCCACTGTAACGCTGGATTTTCACATCAGATCTCAGACCCTTTTAGCAAATTTCTAAGGGACAGGAATAAGACTTGTACAAACTCCAGCCAACATTCAGAGTGCTCCACAGTGGTGAGTGTCTCTCCACGGCTGGCACTTGTGACAGTAACATATTCAGGTTGTTACACACTCGAGTTGTAACTGGAAGTTAGCAACATACTCTTTGGGGCCAAACTAACATTTTAATGTGTCAAGTTGATTGGCTTAACGTATGTTTAGGGTACCATTTAGGTCTTTTTCAAATTAATTTTTTGACAGACTCATATGTACCTACAATGAATTTTAGCTCTTTTCACCCCCTGTTACACTGTCTCATCCCCATCCCCTCCCCAGCTGAAACCCTTCTTTCCCAACAAGTCTGCCTCCCACTTTCTCTAATCTCTGTGACTCATGAATGAATGAATGAATGAATGAATGAATGAATGAATGAATGAATAGGGCTGCTTCATGAGCATAGGTGGGAGGTTATTTACTTGGGTAGGAACAACTCATCAGTGGCTACACCACTGAAGAAAGTGACATTCCTCCCAAGTAACTGTTAATAGATTTGGGGGAGCAGGGTTCAGGAGGCCTTTCCTGTTTCATGATGAACCATTCCTGGGGCCAGTCTTGTACAGGTCTTGACGGATGATCATGGCTGCTTTGAGTTCCTGGGTGCAAGAGCTATGCCATGTCCAGGAGACGATGTTCTGCAGCATTCCACCCCATCTTCCAGCCCTTGCATTCTTTCCCACCCCTCTTTTCCCTGAGCCTGAGAGCCAGGCTGTATGCAATACAAGTGCCCGGGGGATCAATCAGTAGACGCAATGAGGGAAACAGTAATCCCAGAGATCAAGGTCAGGGTGGGCATCCACAGCACAAGCATGAAAGATGAACGTTAACTACCCAAGGCGCCTGACTATGCCAGCCCCTTGGAAGGAAAGACTTCAGTTAGCAGTCTTTGGAAACACCAGTCCTAAGACACAAGTAATGAACATCAAAGGTATCGACACCAAGGTAGTAGAGCTAAAGGCTGTGCCCTAGTCTTAAATAGTCCACACCCGAGAACATCCAACACTAACTCTCTTAGCTGCTGTATTTCAACAGAAGCCAAACAGTGGCAGGAAAGAACATTCCAGAGAAATGAAACAAAGTAAAATGTGGTATCCGACAGGAGAAAAGATGGAGAATAGTAAGACTTGGATCTTCAGAACTTAATGTTTCACAGTGACATCAGCCTTCTCCCGCAGTCCCTAAATTATCAACTGTGCCAAGGGTCAAGCACGGATCCGTCGCCAACACTAGAATTAAAAGTACAGACGCTGTCTTCCAGTTTGAGAGAGACAACTGCTTTCCACTTGACATAAAGGTGTTTACAGAACAAGTGATCAACTGTGGAAGCTGTTATATCCACAGCAGCAGTATAGGCTAAAAATAAAGGAAGGTCGAGAAGGGTTTAGCTACATTTATAGATACAGGATCTGTAACCTGCTATTAAGGAAATTAGAATGTCTGGTGCCGAGGCTCGGCAAAGCCAGTGGACAGGCAGCTTTCCAGTGTGTGCCCCTGGTGCCGTCACCAGACGGGCTCCAGCACAGATGGACCCAGCTGGTGATGGATCTGATTAGTACCTTTTACTTCCCATCTCTCCCCACTGTCCTGTGGTGGCCTTTGTTCTGTGGCCTGAAGGCTGATGGGAAGGTGAATGTTGGACCCAGCGAGCAGCCTATATCACTGCCTCCAGGGTGCATGGCACAAGCAGCTTGGCTTGGTCCAATCTGTCCACAGGGTGAAGGGCTTTTGGAAAGTCCAAAGTGTCGTGTGGGAAAAATCTGCCTTTCTCTCTTGATCTTGTACGTGCAAAGCAACTGGGTTATCGCTTGGGGAGGGCTCTGGGACAGAGTCAGACAAGTGACACAGTGAGAAGAAAATTAAGGGCCGGGCTAAGCTCTTAGGCTGGGCAGCCTGCCTGGAATGATGGAGCGGACTCTCTTATTTTAAGTCATTCCAGAGTGACCCTCTAGGAGGGCTTAGCTGCCTGTGCTGGAGTTGGATATAGGGATCAAGCTTACGGCAACTCTGGGTGACCTGACATCAGTGTTGTCCCCAGGAGGAAAGAGACAGTGAAGTGGTTGTCAGTCTGTCTCCACAGTAAAGACTTCTGTCCCACCTGTGGTTCAGGGATGCAATATCCAGCAGGTCAAAGGAAAAGCGAACAAGGAAGGAGCACTGCAAGTCCCTGTAGCCAGTCCGTTTCTTTGCAGAAATGCAAAGGAGATTCAAATAGGTGGCGTACTGTAGAGGAAGGCCACTGTGCTGGTGAAGTGAGCACATTTCTTAGTCCCTGGGTTTTGGGTCACATGCCCATAAAATGCTCTTCCTAGAAGGTTCCTTTCTTTCTCCCTGCACATCGTTCATTACACAGCATTGTAATTAATGACGATCTGTATATGAAAAATGGAGCATCTACTATATTACATGCTGACTACTCGGGGATGTTGGAGAAATAAGAGTCTCAGGCTCCCTAATCTAACCCACACTGGGTGTTCAGACAGGAGAAACGTGTAGGGCAACAGAAGGGGCAGCTGGCTCCGTAGTGGGAGGGTGAGGAAAATGAAAGACTTTCTGGGAAAGGCAAAGGTGAGTGAAATTATCCCTGGTGTCCCGAGGGACTGGATCAGGACTCCCTGGGATCCCTAGATCCAGGGATGCCCAGCTCCCTCATAAAACGGCCTTGTGTTTCCATATAACCTCTGTTCATCCTCCTATATAGTTAACATATTTCTACAGTATTTACAGTACCGACTACAACGTAAATGCTATGTAATGATTGTTATGCTGTCTTGCTTAGGGAACAAGCAAGAAAAAGTCAATTACTTATTCAGTGCAGATGCAATTTCTCCCCAAAGATTTTTTTGCTCTGTGGTTGGGTGAATCCACAGAAAAGAAATCCAGGGATGTGAAGGACTGGCTATTCTGAGATTTAAAAAAGGAAAAAAAAAAAATATCACTGGATATAGAACATTCCTGGCAGGAACTGCACTGAGAAAGGTCACGGAGTGAAGCCACATTGGACCAGCTGAAAACCTGTTGCAGGTAGAACTAGATACGTGAGGATCTGGACTGGCAGAAGATGATGCTAGTGAGTGTGGTACATGTGTGTATGTGGGAGGGGATGGGTGCTAGTGAGCTGGGATGGGTGCTAGTGAGTATGGTGTGTGTGTGTGTGCTTGGGAGTAGGGGTAGGTGCTAGTGAGCTAGTGAGCCGTATAGTCAAAAAACTGAGGTGTCGGATTTCCAGGCGAGCGATATTGCAGATTGGTGACTCTGGGTTTTAGCTTTTTGTTGGAATTCTAAACTTTCCTGTTCTGATCCCCAGGAACCCTTGCCAGAAGGGTAAGGCCGGATGGCCCAGCCTCTGAAAACATGTACCTGCAGACTGGATATGGTGGGGCCATTGCTTTATTTCCTCTAGATTCTGAACTTCTGCTAACTCGGGGCGGGGGGGGGGGGCTGCTGACCAACCAAGTTGAGGGATGTAAAGGGACAGTAAAACACAGACACAAACATAACCTGACCTGAGCCACACTCTGCCACGAGGCTGCCCCTGAGAGGTGAGTGATCGCCAAGCAGAACGGCCGGAGGGTAGCAGCCTTGTTGAGGCCACCGGGGAGGCTAAACATGTGCGGCCTCTGGCCAGCCTCACTTCCCTGTGTGGGGGGAGGGGGAATTATCAGGAAGCATCTCCTGGGCTTGGGTATGCCACCTACAGGTACAGGGGCCTTCTTCCTGGAGGCTCAGTCCCATGTCCCAGGCAGGTGGCAGAGCCCCAGGAGCTCCAGGCCATAGTAAACAGACAGAGAAGATTCTTAAATGGCCAGGGAGCTATGGCGCCTTAGACTTGAAGAATAAGCTCAAATGGTATCATTAATTAAACTATTCTCCTATAACATCACCCTTCACGTACCATCAATCTCCTGGCAGCCGAGTACTGAGTTTCCACGTGCCCACAGTAGGTCATGGAAGCAGGAGACAGCACAGTTCTTTTTGATCGCTCCAAGAGCTAACATCTGTAAGCGCCTGCTTATCAGTGTGTGAAACATGGCCACGCCTGTGCAATCATCTTTACTCTCTTCAGATTAGATTCAGGCCAACAGATTCATCATCGCCATCAGGAGGGGCCAAACAGATCAACTCACTTTCCAGAGCAGACAGGGCACTTCTCTAGGATCACAGGACTAAACCTGGGCCTTCCAGTTGCTCACATACCTGCTACCAGTTACAAAGCCACGGCTGCTGGAGAATGAAAGGTCTTATCAAGACTCACATGGGGGAAGCAGAGAAAGTGTTTGGTTCTGGCTCAGAGTTTAAAACGGGACCCAGGAAAAGCAGATTAGTTTTGCTGGGGCAGGTGTGGGCGTCCTCTCCTGGTAAACAAATACACAGGCTGAAGACAAGTAGGCCAGTAAGAAGTCTGAAGGGCCCATGGTGCCCAGGACGTACCAGGGAGCTCTCTGGGGATTTGACCTGCACTGGAGGCAAGCCTGCCAATCCTACTTTCATTCTCTCATAGCAGCTTTTGGGCAGCGGAAGGGGAACCATGCTGCACTCATGACCAACATACTACACTGGGACAGCTCTGGGACCTAAGACTTGGGGGAATCTCACACCTCCTCGAGCTAGGGAGCCAAATAAACTCCAAGTGCAGGATTTGATGCCATTGCTTGAACAATCAGTAGAAAAAGCAGACAGGCTCTGGACTAAAATCCTGGCATATTGGAAACTCCTGTCAAATGGAGTCAGACTCTTAGTTGGAAAAGAACTCTGTTCTTTCTGCCTCATGCCACAATAACAGCCCCTCCAGGTCCAGGTTCTGTCCTCTACAGCAAGCGTTAGGCCAGCCTTCTGTTCCCGCAATAGGGCAGACAGCCTTCCTCACGTGTCTCTCCCCAGACTTGATCTCAGTTTCTTCAACTTTCATTCAAATAACACAGAGCTCAGGGTACTGCCTACCTCTTCCAGGGCCCCTCCAGTTCTGCCGAGAACACCCTAGAGGACTGCATTTGGAATTAAAAGATTACTCACACGTAGCTCGGGAAGGCGTGGCTGAATGGCTGGGAGTGCTAGGACACCTTTGGCTCCGGACCTGCACTCTGAACTTTGACCAGACAGGTCTGGGACGCTGTCATCCACATAAACACTGAACCTTGATTGGACAAGTCTGTGACACTGCTGCCCACTTTGGTGGCTTCTCCGCTGCTGTGCTCCATCAAATAAACCCCAGCTTTGACACGGACAGCTAATGAGGAGTAAGCAGGAATACATCTTGGAGGTAACAATGCAACTTGGCGTTCTCAAACATGGCTGAACTAGCCCTCGCTTACTGTTGCTATGTGGCTACACCACAGTGGGATGGGAAGGAAAGAAGGAGAAAAGAAGAAGAATCAAATTTTGGTGAGAAAATTCTGAGACACCAAACCACTGCTCCCTCACTCTTTTCTTAATATGGGTTTGGTTTCTTACGTTATGCCAAAGAAATCTCCGTGATTGCGGGCTCCATGTAGCTCTTCAGGGAGTAATTATTGGTGGGAGACGTTAACGCTCTTCTTATGGTAAATTCACCACAGAAAGGGCGTTTATTCAGTAGCCATTTATTGAGAGGGCGATACTCCCTTTTCTCTGGGACATTTGCCCCCGTGGGGCATCCCAATAGTTTCACTCAGACACACTGACCACATAAACCAGGGACCAACAGTGAGAAGGTCAGCAATGATAAGAATAAGGGTAAAGGTCACCCCAAATAGAAGCAAATCCGGATCTTTGGAAACAAGTGTTCATGAAGAACTTATTAAAGGACTACTATCTATTAATGCAAGAAAAAAAATAATACTGCCTTAAATAACTTGCGAGCAGGCGAGACAAGTCACAGCATTCAGCCATCTGAAGGACAGCAGAGCTGCCTCTCACAGCATGAAGCTTTGGAACTGCCGTGGGACTTCAGAGGAAATCTGGGCAGGTCTGGCAAGGGAGGCCTTTGTGAGGGATGAGATTGAGAGGGACCCCTGAAAGACTACTGCGCATTAGATAAGCAAAGAGAGGGGGAACGTTCCAGAGAAATGGGGGCGATAGGAACAAACACTTGAAAGAAGAAAAATAAGCCTGTGACATTGTAAAGCCAACATAGTGCCCCCCCCCCCAAAAAAAAAAATCCAAACGCAGGGAGGGCAGGGAAAGAAGGCAGGAAAGTGGATAGCCTCCAAGCACTAGCCTTCCTACCAAAACCGCCATCTACAGCCACCATCTGTGCTCTAGACTGAATCATCCGGCAGCTTGCTCCAGTCCCCCACCAAGTGGAGGGGCATTAATGGTGGAAGAGCAGAGACCCAGCCGAATGAGTGGCGTGGACGCCAAAGGACGCCAGGAAGATGCTTGAATCACTGTCCTATCGCTTACGCTCATAAAAACATGGGGCCAGAGGGACAGCCCCATCCGGGTGAGCTGCCTGGGTAGCAGCATGATTGGCACACCCATCCTGAGCCAGCTCAGGCTAATGACCCTCCCTTCTCGTACTGTGACTGGCCCATAAGACAGGCACAGGCTAGACCAGGTGTTAGCGGCTGGTGTTTGTGTACCCCCCTGTGATAGGGACACATTTTGGTTCTCTTACTTTCTTGTGGCAAGGTCACTCAGAACTCCTTTACAGTCAGTGGTTAAATTTCTAAGACCCGGTAAACTAGAAAGTCTCTAAACGAAATTGCCTGGTTCTTTAAAAAGCCGGATCCATCCTCTGTCTCCACAGCACATGACACTGGCTTCGGGGCTAACCCGAAACACAGCCGTCAGTGGCTGAGTGCCACGTGTACACCATGTGTCTAAGGACCATTTGGTCAGCTCAGTGAGGTGTATTTGCTTCAGAAACTTTTCACCTTCCGTCCACCTCCCATCCCTAAGAGGCCCTGCTGCCTCCCCAGGTTGATCCCCACACAAAATTGAAAAGGCCCCTGGGGCGGATGTTTTGGAAAGCACCATCGCATGAAATTGGAATAAGTGAAATAAGGACGTGGCTGGCTGATGTGAGGTCCTGGGAGCCACGTGTAGGTGAGAGGCAACACAGAACGGCCTCCAGGATGGGCCACTTACCAGCTTGCTTTTGACCAACTTTTCTATTGCACTGACAAGGTCTGCAGCAGTTGGTACTTCAGTGGAGGCCTGCCGGGCTGCTAGCAAAGAGGAGGACTGCAAGACATCGGACAGCAAAGGAAAAGCAGATTAGCAAGAAGCGAGGAGCGGCAGTTAGGAAGCAGAGCAGACAGTCCAAAGCTTGCAGCAGGCCAGGAGGGCACAGCTTTGTGTTTACAGAACAGAGACGACAGAGGGAGATGGGGGTGGATAGTGGAACAGAGGTAGGCCTGCATATCCCTTGTGAGGAATTCTGGTCAGTGACAAAGTAAGGCCGGGCCTGGTTCTCCTCAGAGGCTGAGGGGAGGGGGGGTCACTGGATCCCCCAGGAAACCCACAGGCAAGGACTATGCCTACTGATAGCAGAGCAGAGGGAACTGCTTTGAGGGAGATCAGCCTTTTGTGGGAGCCGGATGCTCTTCTGTGGTCTGGAAGGCACCAACAATTCCAGACTCAAATGTGTGTGAAGGAGATAAAACCCTTGCTCCTAGAGCCTTAGCTCTAGATTGTCGCTGCTGCGTCTCAAGTGGGCTTGATACCTTTCCCCTATCTTCTCCTTCTCTTTCCTTCTCACTTCTACCCCCACCCCCCTTCTGGCGCTGGTAAGGCTCCCAAACGTAAGGACTAAAAGTTGTACATCCCATGCTGGGGCTCCCTGAGACCACCCTGCTCACAGCAAAGGGAGGGTCCACGACAGGCCTCTCTGTGCCTTTCCCCTGGACAGGTGGCAGGGCTTTGAGCAGTGGCTGTTTGCATAATGGCTGAGTATCTCTCCCACACACTGAAGGAGTCTTTATTAGTCCGCTTGCTTTTTCCTTCTCCCATCGTCCTGCGGGGCAGCTGGGGGAGAGGCCTGTGTGCCTCTGGGCCTGTGCATCAGGGCTGAGGGCAGTGGTGTTCCCAGGCTGGAACAGGAGGAGAACGAAGAAAGAAAGAGCAATGTCCTGGGTTTGGCCAGGCATCACTCGATCCCTTTAGGTAAGGGAAGAGTTTAAAAAAGGACTTGTTAGTCTCTGCTCCTAAGATTGGGGGAGATCAAATGAATGCAATGGAGAAAGAGATAATTTGTCCTTCCTCTTTGAGGAGAATGTAGGAAAAATTTCTTAGTTTGGAAAACCAAGTTAGCCTCTTTGATTTTCGGTCATCTTACTGCTGGGAACTCATTTAAGGGTCAGATGTCACAAGGACAGATGACGGATCTACAAATTTTCTTCAGGGGTTATTACTCAGAGGCACAAAGACCGGAAACACCTTAGGCTGTCCCACATAGGGCCGGTCATGACAATTACGGAGCATAAAGTCAGTAAAATATTCTCTGGTTACAGTCATATGGGCAAAACTACTAAGACTCTACAAAGCGGGAAGAGAGAAAGCATCGAATGTGCTATGCCCATAGCGTAAGTGGAAAACATCCATGCACGTGAGCAAAGGACAGACGGCACGGAGAACAAGGGAGTCTCACATTAAACGGATGAACTTTAAGTTCAAGTTCCTGCCAGGGCTGGTGCGGCACACCTGGAATTTTGACACTCAGTAGGCAGAGGCAGAAGGATTGAAGCTGGCCAGGCCAGCCAGGGCTCGTGGGACTCTGTTTCCAAACATCAAAACTGTTTCAATAGGTTCAGCTGTACTTGCTAGAGGCACTGAGACTTAGTCCAACCCCAAATACCTCAACAAAAACCAAGTAGACAGAATCAAGCAAGCCAGTCTGGGGAAAGCGGATGTGTCTAAGATGGGGCCACGTACTACCTCCAATTAAGAAAAGGGCCACCTAGATGCCTGCAGTAAATCAGGCATTGATGTACTCTCCGTTACAAATTATCCAGGAACCACCTAACACCCCTTCATCCCCAAAAGGACCAGGAGAGTGCTCATGACCTTTCTGTTTTACGCAGGTAGGAACCTGGGAACTCTACCCGCCCCTAACTAGTACTGTCCATAGGACATTTGACAAGGGTGGGCGGGGAAGCCAGCAGGCTAGTTCTCATAAAGGTGAAGGGCAGTCATCTCCGCCTCTGGGAATCCCTTTGGACACAACGTCATGCTTCTGCTTTTTTTCTCCCCCCCAACGGCCCAGAGTCAACTGGCCCTAGAAACTGCCCCAGCATCTCTGTAGAAAGGAATACAACTGTAAGCTTCCTAGGTTGAGTACCATGGCAGGCAGCCATATCGCTATCCCTGGCTGTTCCTCTGGCCTACACGGAGGAAGACCTTGAACATTTATTATGGTTAACAGCCAAGCGCAGAGCAGACAGAATCAAAATCAGAAATGCTGGGACATCCATCGACAGGGACTATGAAGTCTGGCACCCATACACGCTTGGCGTCCCTACTCAAAGGAGGCTTCCCCGGTGCAGGGCACAGGGCAGAGTGCAGTCAGAGCCAGAGACAGCCAGGCAAGCCGCCGCCGCCGCTGCCACCGCCGCCGCTGCCGCCGCCGCCGCCGCCACCACCACCACAGAACGACACTCCAGAAGGTATCGGCAAGTGCTAGAACTTCCAACTACAATGGCCGCCGTGACAAGGACAAGCCACTATGCAAGAAGGCAAGAAAAATCCAGTGGAGCACAGGCCTGGCTGTGAGGAGAGCAAGGAAACACCACACAATAAAAATCTCCAGTTGGGCATGGTAGCTCACGCCTTTAATCCCAGCATTAGAGAGACAGAGGCAAGAGGGTCTCTGTGAGTCAGGGGCCAGCCTGGTCTGTATAGCGAGTTTCTGGCCAGGCCAGGCCAGGCTACATAGTGAGACCTTGTGTCAAAATAAGAAAAGCAGCCCCATGGTGCAGGTCAGTCGGCACCACTGCAGTCAAGCCTCTGTCTGCTCAGGAACAAGGAGAATGACCTGACCACCGGGGCATTCGGGGCATAGTGGACACGGACCTTTCCAACACCAGTGAGCAGAGCATTTTACAAAACAAAGGGCTGTACACGGTCATTTGGCATGCTTTGCTTTTCCGCGCTTGACAACAGCCCTTCCACTAAGCTTAACTATCCCCCGTGCCGAATGGCTCGGAAGAAACCGTGATGAGACCTTTAGAGCCAGAGGCAGAAGACAGCTAAAACACAGGCTGGACGTCAGGCATTAAACAACGATTGCCTCCTGGAGCCATCACAGGTTCCTTTTAGCGACGAGCAGTTCCTTGCAGGGTCTGCCGCCTGCAAGCACAGAGCTGAGGGGCCCTTGATCAGGAGTATCCGCTTCCAGGGAGACTCCCGCTTTAACCGGTCTCTGCGCATCCCTACACTGCCCAGAACAAGGCCAAGCCTCCACGACCGTGGGGGAGGACACCTGCTAACCGACAGCATGTATGTCACCGGGGGTTCACGAGCAGAAAGCACGGATGGGGAGGGCAGCACTGCCCCCCCCTCAGGGAGAGAAATCTCAGCGGGGGTCCTACCATCTCATCCTGGGTCGGGTCGTTGTCAAAGATCTTCATGGGTGGAGGGAGTGGGGTGTGTGACTCTTCATCTGGCTCATCTTCACCCCAACCCTTCTTGCTCTTCTAGAACAAAAGAACATCATTAGGGACTGCTGCACCAACAAAAGACGCCAATAATTCAGAACTTGACATTAAAAAAAAAAAAATCTCAAGGAGAAATAGTGAAAGTTGGAGAACTTTTTTTTTTTTTTTGCAGATTTTTTAAAATTATTATTATTTATTACAATTTATTCAATTTGTGTCCCGGCTGTGGCCCCCTCCCTTGTCTCCTCCCAATCCCACCCTTCCTCCCTCTTCTCTCCCATGCCCCTCTCCTAGTCCACTGATAGAGGAGGTCCTTCTCCCCTTCCCTCTGACCCTAGCCTATCAGGTCTCATCAGGACTGGTTGCATTGTCCTCCTCTGTGGACTGGCAAGGCTGCACACTCCAGGAGAAGGTGATCAGAGAGCCTACCACTGAGTTCATGACAGAGAAAGCCCCTGTTCCCCTTACTACGGATCCCACTTGGAGACTGAGTCTATGGGCTACATCTGAGCCGGGGTTTTAGGTCCTCCCCATGCATTGTCTTTGGTTGGGGTATCATTCTCTTCAGGGGCCCTAGGGCTCAGTTTTTATGGCTCTGTTGGTCTCCTTTTGGAGTGTTGGAAGACTTTTTAAATCACATTTTCCCTCACTTCCCAACCCCAACTACCCCCGTGCTACCCCACGAGGGTCCAGGATGGCCTTGAACTCATGGTTCTTAGTCAACATCCTGGATACTTAGGGATTACAGGGATGTGTGTGCCACCATGACAGGCCTAACTTCAAATTTTTCTGAAGGACTAAATTACTATCCAAATCTCAGCAGGGTTCTGTGCCTTTTCCAACTTGAGAAATGACAGAATTACAAGACAGAGTCTGGTTGTGCGTTGGAAAGACATTCTTAGCCTCCCCAGTGATCAGTTAATTATGCAGATAAAACAGGTGTTTTATTCCCCAAGCCAAAATGCATCCCCTATATTTTTATTACAGAATCTCAGCTCTCCAAGAACTCTAGAGATCACCCAGCCTAACTTCTTGGCTAAAACCCAGTTCTCTGAGTTCTCTGTGACTAATGGGAGGTCGGAAGGTCTCGTGGAGGCCCATTACATCATCACCGGCTGTCTCTAACATCCCTTACTGGGCGGAAGCCTTGTCCACTGTGACATCCATGTGTTTGCTCTTCATAGCTATTTGTTGGAGATAAGATCCCACTGTGCTTAGGCAAACCCTGGCTTGCCTAATACTCAATATGTAGAATGAGATGGCCTCATAGAGATCGGCCCTCTGCCTCCGGAGGGCTGGGGCTAAAGGATGTGCCACCATGCCTGACGCCTGCAGCATCCTTTACGGGTGACATTGCTCAAACACTTGACTGCGGCTCAGCCTCTGGTTTTTCAGAGTGATAGTGTCGGGACTTCAGCAGAGGCAGGGGGTCGACGACCTCCTTTCTAGTCAGCACCCTATCTGTGGAATCTGGCAAATCCTTGTTCCTGTCTATTCGATGGCCTCAGTGCCTGTCAGTCTGTGAACGGAGGACAAATCACAGCAGTCAAGACTCAAGAATGCAGAATTCAAGATGACGTACTCCTAGAGATGGCAGACCCGCTTGGTTATGTGACTGTGAGGAAAGCGTGTCAGAGGTCTCCTGTGGCAGAAGTGAGCGGGCCCTGGTACACACCTCATCAGCGCTGTCTCCCTGAGGGGTCGTCTCATCCCCAGGCTTGGGGGATCCCAGGTCGAAGCTCTTCCTCCCATCGCGTACTTTTTTCTGCTTTTTGATGTTTCCATCCGCTTTCCCACTGTTGAGCCGGCGCACGGGGCTGGTCAGCCACTTTTTAAGGGTGTTGGTGGAGCGCTTGGGACCAGGAGAGCTGTGGATGGAGTTTAAGGAGTGCTGAGACTGCAGGTTGGCCACGGACTCGGACTTGCCTCCATTTTCACTGGCAGAATGAGAGTATGAATCTGAGGAGGAAAGACAGATAGGAGCCTCCTGTCAGATGCTATTAAAGAAGCTCTCGGACTGTTGGGGAAGGCAGCTTCCCCTTCAGGAAGGTAGGTAGTGGGCCAACTGTGGACCCGGACAAGAGAACAGCAGTAACAGTTGACACTGATTCAAATGTTCACACGTAAGATGCCATTCTAGGTTTCATATTCTGAAGGGAAAATACAATAGACCGTGACAACACAAAAGAAGGAAAATGTTAAGTATCATAGATAATGAGAAGAGCTATGCTAAAAAAAAAAAAATGAGGTTGGGCTGCGTAGCGGTGCAGCACATCTTTAATCCCAGCACTCGGGAGCCAGAGGCAGGTGGATCTCTGAGAGTTTGAGGCCAGCCTGGTCTACAGAGTGAGTTCTAGGACATCCAGGGCTACACAGAGAAACCGTGTCTGGAAAAACCAAATAATAACGATGATGACAAGAATGATAATGGGAAATGCAGTGGGTAGGATGTGGGGTACGGCAGGGTGACATCAGCACAGTGAGCAAGGGGGACGGTGTTAGAGTGGAGGTCAGCAGAGCAAAAGGGACTGGACCACCAGAACTGGGTGGCTAATCTTATGACACCTTCGTTTTCACCCATGAGGAAAACTCTCAGAAGATGGGTACCATCTATCATGCATACTAAAAGGTCATCCTTATGTCTAACTGTGGACAGTGGAAACAGACTGCTTAGGAGGCCACCGTATCCCTTTCAGCTGAGGGATGCTGGCGGCCGCGAGAAGGGATCAGATTCTGAATGTCTGTTTTGACAGCAGAACAAGCAGAGCTTTCTGACCGCGTGTGGCGTATGAGCCAGAAGAGTCAGAATAACTCGGGTGTCGCCCGGAACAACCATTAGGGTAAAGTTTTTGAGGCGGGGCAGAGTATGGGAAGAGCGGCTTTGAGGGTAGACTGAAAGGAGGTCAGCTGTGGCCTTCAAGTCTGAAGCTGGCGGGGGAAGGGGGGGGAGGAGAAGGTACTGTGGAGCTGGAGGTGACTGGGGATCGTCACAGTGAAGAGAGGTCCCGGAAGCCATGAGTGAAAACACCAAGGGGCCTCGGGTGTGGGGAAGGGAGATGTTCGGAAACTCAGCAAGAAGCAGGGGGATGAGGAGGCCAAAAACGAAATAAATAAAAATTTAGAAAGAGAGGCGGGAGGAAACGAGAGCAGTAGCTGACGGGGAGGTTGCATGCGGAAGGGTGTTTGCACGGAGGAAGATCTCGAGATGTCGTAGGTCAAGAGTACGGACCAAAGAATTAAGCCGTAAACTTAGTTACAGAGACGTCACTGGTGACTTTGCAAGAAAGCAGCTGGAGTGTGATGGAGGGGCGAGCTTGATTACACGGAGAGGCAGAGAATGGGCGAGAGGAAGGCAACTGAGAGCACGGAGAACTTTTTTGTTTTGTTTTAAAGGGACAATGATTGGAGATCAAGGGAGTTTGTTCTGTTCTTTCAAATGGGAGAAATCAGCACATTGTCTGGAAGTTGTTAGGCCATTTGTCCACTATCTCGGTGCTTTAATGAACTTGGAATAGCCTAAGCATCTTATTTAGTTCTCTGACAACAGGCATGGGGGTGGGCGGGGGTGGGGTGTGGGGGTGGGTGGGTGGGGGTGTCTTATTATCTTTATTTCACGGAAGAGGAAATTGCCGGTTTAGAGATGTCAGTCAATTTGCCCAAGGACATACAGCTCCTTGGGACAGGGTGAGATCAGTATGCCATTCAGCCAGACTAGAGCGATAAACCACGCTACTGGCCCTTCATGCTTGTCCATGCCCACTGACTACAGGCAAAGCAAACCCAGGGAAGCCATGCTATTGGCGTGGGACAGCCAGCGAAAGCACAGCACAGGAGAAGCAAGTAAGACAAACCTTATTTAATTCCTCCAGTTCCTGACGTCTGCTCATCTATGAGGGGACCAGCATTACATGTACAGAGTTTAGCCTGTAAAATACCTGACTAGTGCAAAGACAAGATTTTAAAGTCTGTTTTGGGTGCTCTGGTTCCCACTGCTCGGTGATGCTGTTTTTGGTTCTATTCATGAGATAACTAGGGTCCCTACGCCAGAAGAATTACTAACCCCAGTAACAACATCACAGAGGATGTAGGAGAGGGTGAGCGTTCTAAAAATATAAGACACGGGCTGCATTTTCACTGACCCCTTGTCTAGCTAGACACACATCCACACGCGCAAGAGCAGAGAGAAGTGGGGAGGGAGAGAAGAGAGCAGAACAGCAAGATAGAGCATAGACGACAAAGATATTTTCACAAGGCAGTGTGTGATTAACTGCCAGGAGGCCGGTATGGACAGACTCTCCCGATCAGTGAGCAGAGGTCAGGGGAGGGTCAGAACTGTGTAGGCTGGAAAGGTTTAAGGGATGAGATGTTTTGGGGGAAGGGGATGTTCCCAAAGGGTAGGATAGCAAGACCAAATGTACAGTCAGGGGAATGTAAAATAAGTTAGCCTGTCTAATGCATATCCTTTGTAGGGAATCAAACCAATGCAGGGTGGGGGGAGAGGAGGGGGGAGGAGAGAAACTGGAGGAAGGAAGGAAACATTTGTGAAGATATTAGATAATAAACTGGAATATGAACTTTATTATGAGATTCTAGTGAGAAATGACATGACAGAAAAAGGGTAGCGTTTGTTTTCCAGATCAATCTGCCAACTCTGTCCGTCTTGAGAAGAAGGGATTGGAATCCAGATGGTCCTATGAGGGCTGTGCCCAGGCTAGGGCATATGATACTGTTAACGTTTGGGAGACAAACTTAAAGGTGAGCATGTTGTGAATGCTCATGACTCCTGCAGTCCTAAGATAGCTGCTCTCCACCCCAGCCTCATGGCTCTAGGTTTGCATACCGGTATTTAAACCAGGCAGACACCTGGGTATGGAACTTTTCACACCTCCTCCGAGGCTTAATCACATTTTCCTGTGTGACTCTCTCTGCCCTAGACTTGGACAAGAGATCTCATCTAGCCTAGGAAACCCTCAAGCTTAGATAAGGCCACTAGAGAAAAGAGAATCCTGAAATAAAGTTAACAAACACATTTGCCAAGAGAGAGCAGTCCCCGGCATCTCCCAGGGGTTGATACCCTGAGCTCCATGCTGGGGCTGGCTGGGCCTTGGCCCTGCTGGGGCCTTTCTCAGAGACGGTTAGGGCTTTGTGCATACTTTGGAAAGCAACAGCAGAAGATCTGTGTTTAAAAGCACAAACAAGGAGCTCCTAAAATCCCCTGGTATGAAGGAGAATCTTCAGGGCTCCTCTGCTCAGGGAACATCTGGGGATTGGCTGGCACTCCTTTAAGGATAAAGGCGTAATCTTATCTCAGAAAATTCCTCTCTGGCCGTGGTCTGGAGCATGTTGACATTATAGTGTTTGGTGTGGGTGATAAGCATCTGCAGTAGCTCGGATAGAAACAGGGCCTCTCTGCTGATAAGTGGCAGGCTCTCCTTATTCACTAGGCCCCAGGGATGCAACTGAGTTTTCAAAAGCTAGATTTACAGCACTGTGCTGTGTCAGCAAGGTGAGAGTCTCAGCCACCTCAACCGCGCCTCGGTTACCCAGCAAAGCAAATGATGTTCCAGGGTAAACTGTGGCCTGGCTTGGACATCCACAGATGGATATTAGGATCGGCCATTCCTCTTCCCCTTCTGCTATTGATATCTGCTTTTCACGCTTTCCGTACAGAGAAAGGGCAAAAGTTCAAGAGCAGAAAGTGAGAAATCTAGAATATTCTCAGTGTTGCTTCAAGTTTGTTCTAGGTGAACTACTGGAGTCATCTTAACAGTGGTCCCGGTAATGGGAATCCAAGTTGGAAGGGGTATATGGTTTATTATAAGACGGCCATTTTGAAATCAGTTTTAGTGGGGAGGAGGAGATGGGGTAGGGGAGACAGGGTCTCATTACACAGTCTTGCCTGGCTTGATACTCCCTATGTAGGCCAAGTTGGCCTCCTACTCACAGAGATCTGCCTGCCTCTGCCTCTGCCTCCAGAGTGCTGGGATTAGAGGCGCGTGCCACCTGGCCTGGCCAAAGTCATTCTAAATGTCTGGTTGCAAAACAATGCGGAAACACTTGGACAAGAAATAGCTGCCTAGTTAGTTGCCTCTTCCGGGTGGTTATGCCTGCGCCATCTCCGTAAAATGGCTTCATTGGTAAGATGTGTTCCCAATAGAACAGTTCCATGGCTGATTCACATCAGTTACAGCAATAACTCTGGTTCTCACCCAGTCATCATAGTTGAGGTAGGAAATACGCATTACGACTTCCATGTTAGGAAATAGAAAATGAGAGTGCGTCAGCAAACTGAGGCCTGTAGTCAGTAGGAGAATTAGAACCCATCTACGATTATGGTAGAAGGGACTATACAGCTGCAGGTCGACTCAACATTTTAATATAAACTTACCCATACATCGTATAAACAACACAACTTCAGATGGTTGAAAACCATCTTTAAATTTACGTAACAACTGTACATGTCAAGCTACAAAGCCACTGTCACAGACTAGTCACAAGACCGGGACCAGAGCCAAGGCATCCCCTTGACCTCCCAGGGCCTTGGATGAAAGCATGCTCTTTACTGTGAGGTTAGGAACTGCCCTGAGGACTGACTGGTTTCAATGAGTGGCAACTGTGGACACTGTGGGAGGTAAGACTCCCTGATATTCGGCTACCTGAAACTTGTTGACTAATTTCCTGAGGCAGATTTTTACTATGAAATTTTGTTTCGTTTTGTTTTTTTTGAGACAGGGTTTCTCTGTGTAGCTCTGGCTGTCTTGGAACTCACTCTGTAGACTAGGCCTGCCTTCCGAATTCACGGAGATCTGCCTGCTTCTGGGATTAAAGGCGTGTGCCACAGCCATCTAGTGACGCATTTTTGAATAAAGAGAATTACAGAAAAAAATGACTTCTATTTACTTATCATGTAGTTGTGATAAATGTATACTTTCGTCATATTTGCTTCAGATGGTTTTTGA